TATATATATATATAAAAAACTGTATTGTCATATGGCTTTTTCATTGCACAAATCAGGGTTTTGGTGACAGTAAAAGCCCTATTATACTTAATCAAGGTTTTAGTCATCCACATTGTTCTCTCATTTGGTTATACAAAAAACTATGCAATTTCAAATAAACATATTAAAAAGCAATAATAAACTGATAAAAAAAACAAGCCTCTCACTTTCTAAACACCATGGTGGGTGTAGACTAAAGTCTCAGTTAGGCCTATGTTAAAGCAATGACACCATGTGGTTTACTAGGGAAATTCGGGAATTGGTTGATCTCAAGGACTAAAGGTGTTTAACCATTACATAATAGGAGTGTGTTAGTGTAACAAGTCCAAGTGATTTTCTGAAGGTCATGAGGACAGATGTCATATAAGACATGTAAATCACTTTTTTTTTACAGAACACAGCGTTTAAACATTCAAAATATATTTTTGTAACAACATGTTTTCATAATTGCGTCACAGCTGTCAGAATGGTCAAAATGGTAAAAACATATGGCTCTCATAGAGAAACAATAACAAAAATGTGCTTATTTTAAAGCATGCTGTGCCAGTGACAGCATAATTAACTTACATGTTCTGGGTGAAGTAAAAATAACCATCTATCTATCTATCTATCTATCTATCTATCCATCCGTCTATCCGTCTGTCTGTCTGTCTGTCTGTCTATCTATCATTATTCTAATGTATAAAGTAAGGTTTCACGGTTGTGCTGTGCTGTAATACTGAGAAATAAGATCTCATTATTCAAAAGCGATAAATGTTTATATATTTCAGGGACACTTGATGTAAATAATGTATCTTTGCTGCATGTTATTCTGTTGTGTTCAGTGAAAGGTTTCCAAATGTTGTGCAATCTTCACACTACATTAAAATGTTGAATACAATAACATACGTCAGTGTGGATGTAATTTAATGGCTAGAGTTCAAAGGGTTTTTTTTGTAGTTAAAAAAGTAAAATTTGTAGTCTCGTTCTCTACTGCCAATAATGTTCTGGGGCAGTTTCATAATATTCTCATAAAGGCATGCACGCAAATAACATCCTAGCTATTATATCTTTTGAAAATCCAACAAATTCCTGCAACATGTTGTGGAAAGATTGAAATTTCTGAGGGTTTGTAATTTATAGGTAAGTAGCTGCAAAGACTAGAGAAAAAAAAATCTTAATCTCCGCTCTGGGGAGAAGAAAAACAGAGTTGCTTTCTTTGTCGTTAAAAATTGCACAGTAAATATATGTGCTTTTCTTTGAGTTTTTTTTTCTACAACCCCACTCTTTGAGTTTCACAGGTTGTAAATCTTTCTTCTCTTTGTTTGTTCCTCAGATCTGCAGTTGTGATGATACATTCCAGGAGCTTCTGAAGAGTTTCAGACATAAATGACGTCGCTTCCAGCTGCCTTTGGGGACATTTAGAAGTGAAATAAAGGAGACAAACCAACCCAAACATATGAAAGAGTTAATATCAGACTGAGGACTAGGTTCCTCTCCATTTCTGCGACAAACATCATCACACGTTTGACACAAAATACTGGGAAACAGAATGCCAGCCAAGACACCCATGTACTTAAAGACATCCACACCAAAGCGAGGGAAGAAGCAGAAAATACGGGACGTTCTTTCAGGAGACATGATAAGCCCGCCGCTGGGTGATGTGCGTCACAGTGCCCATGTCGGGCCTGAGGGAGAAGGGGACATGTTTGGCGATGTGGGATTCTTGCAAGGCAAACTCAATATGCTTCCAACCCTCAATCAAACGCCCGGCTCTCGTTCTCACAGCATTGACAAAAGAATGGATGAGATCTTCGATGTGAACAGCAAGAGCCACACTTACCATCGCAGTCATAATTCGCATCACAATTCTTTCCTCAAAACCACCATCTCCATGCCGGTGTTCATCGCTCCTGTGCAACCTCCTCCTAAACCCCCACGTCTGCATTTAGACGAGCAGCCGTCCCCTGTTCATAAGCAGCAGAATCACCATCACAGTCCGACGCAGCAGCGCTCCATGTCTGTGTGTGAGGAAGGGATTGGGAAGCGCAGGGATCCCTGTCGTGACCTCACTCTCTCCGCCTCCATCGCTGTCCTGCCACACCTGGTGCCTTCCACGGGCTCCTTATCCGAGGCTTCCTCGGATGACTCCATGTCAGAAGGCTGCGGTCCGCTGGAGCCAAAACTAGGCTTGAGTCTGGACTCTGATGCAGGGCTTAGTAATGAGGACCTGCGGAGCGAACACTGTGAATCTCCGGCTATCTCACCCAGCATGTCACGCTCGGAGTCTCTTATGGGTTTGGACCTGGACCTGGGACCATCCATTTTGGAGGATGTTCTTAGGATCATGGACCGTTATAAGAGTGTGGAAGAGAGACATGAGATATAAGGGGACTCTTTTAGATACTGTAATATAGGCGTTAGCTCACCCATGGCATCTTATTATGCCTGTTTCAGAGGACAATGAAAGAATTGGAATGAGCAATAGCTGGCTGTGCCACAGATGCTGCAGAGTTATGGCATATTTTTAGGCAATAATCTTTACAGCTTCGACTCTGAAAAATACAATCCATCAATCTATTCATTTCCATAAGGTGATCCAGTCATAGCACAACATTGTTAATTGATAACATAACAAGAGCAGTGTTTTGCTGGGTTTTGGTCATTTTAGGCTAACTGGAGGTGTAAAATATTTAAGCATTTTTATATTTGCTATTACTTATTAAGCTATGCTTTGCAGGGAAAGGAATTGGGATTTTGGCTATGTAGTAAATTTTCCTGGAAAAAGTCAAACATTTTGCATAAAGTATAATTTTTAGTCAATGTAGGTGACTTTTATCAAGTAATGACCCAAAATGGAGTTTTGATTTACTTCCACTGGAGTAAACATATTATGCAGATATGTAAAACATGAGATCTAGGTGATCTAAGATAATTCTTTTCCCTGCCTAATATGAGTACAAAGGAAATCACTTTGTAAAGGTTTATCTTTGATGGGGTGTTATATTACAGTATTTTATTGCATTGTGATATGAAATAAAATGATCATGTAAATAAAATATTATAAAAAGATATGCCTCTACTGTTTTAATAATAAAATACTTTCTTTCTTTCTTTCTTGTATTATTTAAAATGGAATGTTTGTGGAATGGAATAAGTATTTAATAAAAAAATATCTACATCTATTATTTTTTGTAAGTATTTCCAAAAAAAAATGTATTATTATTATTATTATTACAATTTATTTATTATTGCTTTAAAATAACTGATGGTTGGAAAGTACAACCAGTCGGGCAGAATGGTAGAATTTGTTTTTTTAGTGAAAGCTTAGTCCGGACTTCTTTTCGATTATTTAGGTCTAACCCCGAAGGTGCTAAATGTAGTTCCGCTGAAAAGATGAATTGACATGCGTATCATCCAATAAGATAACAGACTGGGGAGGGTTTTCAAGCGAACAACCAATCACAGAGCCAAAATACCTTACGCGTTTTAACTGCGACGGCTTTTCGTGCTACTAAAAACGCCTGTAAAAAAACTCTAAAAACTCGATAGAAGTCTGTTGTGTAAAATACATATGACAGTTACAATTACTGCTATATAAATGTGTGAAATTATAGAAAACTGACCACCAGAGACACCCCAGTGCTGCAAATTACTGTTAGCCAACATGAAGTGAGTAACTTACAAATGTGCAGACTGGCTATTCTCCAAACCGCTGTTTATTAAACAGGTTTTCTGCTCTAATGCCTCTTTCGTCCATTTAGGCTGAATATCGAGGGGTTATTAGTCTACTTTCCGTATGACTACATTTATCCTGAACAATACTCGTACATGCTTGAGCTGAAGAGGACGCTGGACGCAAAGGTGTGTTATAATCCATTTATTAAACCAATATCGTCATGTATGTAATATGTCAACATTAATTAAGGGTAGTTAACATGTCTTTTCACGCCGTGCCAAAAGTACCATGTGATGTAATGTGCAACACTAATCTAAAACGGGTTTAAACTGCATTTTCAGTTACTTTATACAGTACAGCACTATTATTTATTTAGAATTAAACCATTGGCAATTAGAATATTGAATGGAATTGAGTGTAAGCATCTCATGTGAAAATTAGTGCTTGTGTTTTTTTATGTTGAATAGTTGTTGTTGTTGGTGTCTTAATTATGTGTGTATAACTTATGTGTGTGTGTGTGTGTGTTTCTTATTATTATTAATGAGAAGCCAAAGGAAAATTTCCACATTGGTGGATAATAAAGTTAAATCAATCAATCATGAATGCAGTTTTTGTAGTTTTATATGAACTGAGAGACAACTATCTATCTATCTGTTTCCCCACTTTTATTATCTTGCAAAGGGTCATGGAGTTCTCGAGATGCCTTCAGGAACAGGAAAAACAATTTCTCTTCTTTCCCTCATTGTTGCTTACCAGAAGGTGAGGGATTTCTGAATGACTGTGTTATATAACTTGAAACTTCACTATAATGAGAGTCTGATAACTGCATATAATTTGATTTATATTTTCATCACTTGCAGGCTTACCCTTTAGAAGTCACCAAGCTTGTCTACTGTTCTCGCACAGTGCCTGAGATAGAGAAGGTATTCAACATTACATACATGTTTATAACCCATTGCATACTTAGTTCATGACTTATTTTTAAATTTCTTTTCAAATATGCGTTTCATCATTTAATTATATATTTATTTTCTGTAACCTCTCTGTTCTCCTGTCAGGTTGTGGAGGAGCTAAGGAAACTAATGGATTATTATGCAAAGCAAACAGGAGCGAAAAATGACTTCCTTGCACTGGCACTTTCTTCACGGAAAAACCTGTGCATTCATCCTGAGGTAGAAGCTGCTAAATGAGCAGATTTGCGTGTGGTTTCAGTAAATCTCTTTGTGCAGGTGAACTCATTAAGCGAAAGTGAATGTGTGATTACAGGTGAGCTCTCTGCGTTTTGGAAAAGAAGTAGATGGAAAGTGTCACAGTCTGACAGCATCATATATTCGTGCGCAGCATCACAGTAACCCAAGTCAACCTGTCTGCCAGTTCTATGAGGTGTGAAGCATTTCTCAAGCATTTGCTGTAGCATTTGGCCTTTTTTTCTAATCCTGGTACAATTTGTGTAAGGCCTGAATCCTTGTATGTATTTTATTGTATTCTGGAATATGAAATAATCATGAAAAATTTTACATTTTTAAAATATTTATGTTTTAAAATGATAAACATTTATTGTTATTTAATATATATATGTGTGTGTATTTATATATACATAATAAATATACTCAGAACACACACATACATTATGCAAACAAAAACTTTTATTTTGTATGCGATTAATCGTTTGACAGCACTAATTAAAATAATCATTTGCCTGTATGCAGCAATTTGATGCAGTAGGCAGACAGGTGCCCATTCCCCCTGGTATATATAACTTGGATGATCTGAAGGACTTTGGGCGTAGAAAAGGCTGGTGTCCGTACTTCCTGGCACGTTACGCAGTGAGTACTTGCTAGATTTAATATGGTGGATGTTTTCTGCAATTGATTGATGATTGCATACAATTGATTGTTGTTGCTCTCATACGTTTCTTCTTTTAGATTCTTCACGCAAACATTGTAGTGTACAGCTACCATTACTTACTTGATCCAAAAATTGCAGACCTGGTCTCGAAAGAGCTCACAAAGAAATCTGTAGTTGTGTTCGACGAGGCTCACAACATCGGTGAGTAGAAATTTGCAGTACTTGTTATGATCACCCATATCATGTGGACAGATCTTGGATATTTTAGCTGATATTGTTCCCGCTAGATAATGTCTGTATTGATTCCATGAGCGTCAACATTACCAGGAGGACTCTCGATCGCTGTCAGACTAATGTGGAAACCCTGCAAAACACCATTAGCAGGTGTGAAAAAATACTGGAAGAGTGAATTCATTAGTATTTTATTTATTACTACATGAGTAATGCCTTTCATTTCGTGCCGTCTGTTTGTGTTCTTTTAAAGAATTAAGGAAACAGATGCTGCCAAACTCAGAGAAGAATACAGGAGATTAGTTGAAGGCCTTAAAGAAGCAAATGTTGCCAGAGAAACTGACATGTATCTGTCCAACCCAGTTCTGCCAGATGAAATCCTTCAAGGTCAGATTTATTATCTACAACCCCTAAAATATTTGAGTCACACAAAAATGTCTGTCTTTGCATTAGATAAACCAAGTGGCATCTGCAAACAAATGTCATATTTCACAAAACTTTTAACTGAGCATTTTGGTGATGGCTTTCAACCAACTGGTCCCAAGTTAATTTTTAGCTGATGAATGAAGTCATCCTCCCTGTTTGACATCCAGAAATGTCCAGATACTTTTAGTGATGATCTGAACAATAAAAATACAATATCTGTTCTATAATATGAAACCTAACAGACTTCTTTTGTGATAATTTTGCTTTAAATAGCTACATTTCTTTAAATACCACTTGTTTTAAAATTTTGCTTCATTAAGTGTGGCTTAAGTATCCAAATATATTTGGCATATGTGACTCTAACTACAGAGGCTGTACCTGGCAGCATTCGCACTGCAGAGCACTTCGTGGGCTTTATAAAGCGCTTCCTGGAGTACCTGAAGGCACGTTTGCGAATCCATCATGTGGTGCAAGAGAGTGCCCCTCAGTTCCTCAAAGACATCTATGAGAAGGTCTGCATTGACCGCAAACCCCTGAGGTGAGTAAAAGAATCAAGTCTGTTTCTTCTGCCGTCCCATACTGGAAGTACTGATGGTCATTATTAAAGGGGGCATAACACACACAGTTTCACCCAATCTCATGTTAATCTTGAGTACCTATAGAGTAGTACTGCATCCTTCATATCTCCAAAAAGTCTTTAGTTTTAGCATATTTAGCATATTAAAGATACAGCTTTACGATTCTCTCCGGAAAAAGCCGAGCTCCTGGAGGCGCGCCGTGGGCGGAGCTAAAGAGTGACGACCACTTGTGCTGATCGCCAACAAAACACAAATTTGATGCTGTTTCACTTACCGTCTGCAGTTCTGAATCATGACCGGGATATTTTATAGCTGGGACCGCTCCATCTTTCAGTATCAAACGATGTGCAAATCCAGCGTCGAACTGGGCCTTGTTTATAAAACGTTCGTCAACAAACACACTTGTGAAACTCCGTTGCTGCCCCGAAAAAATAAACTGTATCCACTGTTTACATAACGCTGGGTTCTTTAGGAAGCTGAACAAAGTTATCTTTCCCCCTACAACCAAAAACACACTTCTTTGGATTGGAGACATTCTTCCCGAGCAAGTCCAGTGCAGCGTTGCCGCCGGATGAAGCACTTTGATAGGCGCGATCTTTATGGAGATAGAATTGTTGCTTAATTCCAAATAAATAGATTACGATCCATAAATAAATGTAAAGAGATTAACAAACATTAAACATATTGACAAATAAATAGAATGAGATCCACAAATAAA